AAAAAAGATTAAAACAAAAAAAAAAAGGGGTCAAAGGGTTTTAAGTGTAAAAAAAGGTAAAGCTTTATTAAAGACAAAAAAAAAAAAAAAAAATGAAAGCTATCAACTAAAAAGAGACAAATGTTTTTTTTTCTCAGAGTTTTTCTTTCACACACAGGGTTAAACTCACACACAGGTTTAAACTCTCACACACATGTAAACTCAACACAACTTTGTCTCTTTAAATTTTTACCAGTTGAGTATTTTTTGAGATCTGAAATTTTTACAAATATTTCTAATTGTTATCAAATAAATGAGATTTCTTGTTCTATTTCAACTATTTTTCTTTGAATACCTCCAAAAACAAATAAAGGATTCGAGGACAGTTCAAATAAGTTTCATAATTGTTTTATTTGGATATAAAGTATAAAGAATACACAATTTACTGTCCTGCAGGAGTTATGCTGTAAAGGCAAAGATTAAAAAGAAAAGAAAGCCTAGGTAAACAAATTCTCGTTTTTTTAAATTTAACCAAAATATTAGAACTAAGAATGAGAAATCTTTAATAAAGTCACAGCTCTGTTTATGATAAAAATTGAGTAAGTAAGTCTAGGATGTAAAAATTTTGTAAAAATGGTTTCTTATGTTTCCCAGTAACTAACTGATTGTGGTTGGATCAAGTCTCGGGTGTGAATGCAATGCAGGAAATGATTGGGTAATGATTATGTTTATTTACACATAAATCCATCTCGTTGTCATTCACCTACCACACACATACATGAATATTACATCAATAAAACTTTATAATCCAATTCAAAACAAAATGTATTAATTGTTTGCCTGCAATAAAGATTTAAAAAAAAATATTTTGTTGAATTTTAATGTTTCAAGCTCAAGATTCTGAAGATTTACAAAATTCAAAAAAATTAAACTCAATTAATTAAAAAAATAATTAAATAACTAACTCTCTAAACAAACAAGAATAATGTGTTGATTTAAACAACAATAAAATCTTTCATTTCCTCAGGTTAGACTATTTACAAATTACTTTGAAAAAAAAATAACCAACAACAATAGGTTGATATAAAAATAGAACTAAGTAAATAAGTCCACTTTTAAAAGGTCAAGTTATCTGTTATAGGTCAAGACGTAAGAGATAATTTTTCAGTCCTATGTCATGAACAGATGACATTACAGTAATGAATTCTAAAGTAATTGATGTCATTAAAGTACAAATTCACAAAGAAATAAATATTTTAAGTTAAGTAATATGCCATGACATAGCAATGTCTCTTGTCCAGCTTTACTGACGGCAATGCTAAATCCTAGAGTTCATGTGAACAGCAGACAAAAAATATAAGATTTAATTCTCCTATAAATTATTAAATAAATATTCTGATGCATTGCATGACAAATGCAGAAAGTGCAACCATAAGTTATCACAATGAGTACAGTTTATAACAGTAGACATAAAAGTGTTGCATCAGTTTTTAAATGTACATTACAATGTGATTAAGGTCATAAGGAAGAGAATATTAGAACTCTTAAACAAAAACAAATAGGGTGTAAGAAAAATATTTTTTGGCTTTTTAAAAACTATCTCATCTGAGATTAATTCAAAATAAACAAGACAAGTCCTTCACGAATTTCAGCATAGAGGAATTGAGCTATTTCTGTGTTTATTTGGAACTGAGGCACCAAGTGGAAGGTCAGATGCATGTGTTTTAACAAGACTCGTCGTCACTGTTGACTTCAGTTTGAATCGCTTCTGCGGCTTCCAGCAGGACTTGATCTTGGGGAGTCGTGTCCTATACTTCTGTGGCTCCTGGGAGGGCTTGACGTGGGCGAATCTCTTATCTCCGTCTCAATTTCCCCTTCGTCTGGTGGATCTGGGGAGGACAATGAACATTTATGTAACTGTGTTCAACTACGGAGGGTTCAGTGTAGTCAAACGTGACTGGATTTTAACAAGTGCTCAACGGCATATTTAGAAGCTTAAAATTTACAATAAATGACATCAGTCCTTGATCTCATCTTTACAACTGTGCACTGTTCACATTACATCACTACTTCAGCTTCACTTCAAACTTTCCAAGGCATTTTTCAGGTGATGTTAAATAACTTGATCTTAAGCCACCACCAAACACGCCCCCCCCCCCCCAAACATACCATGCCAATTACTGTTGCCATTTGGTGATTGATTAACTCATTACAATTATCATAAAAAGTTAAAAATCTTTCAAGTCTCAGTGTTAAACTATTTACAAATTACTTTAAAAAAAAAAAAAAAAAAAAAAAAAAAAAAAAGAATAATAGCAAATATTAAATTGCTTATCAATGTGAAAGATTTTTGTCGGTGTTGACTTGTGACGGGTTCAAAGCTGCAGATGGACCAATGACAATGTGCCGTCCGAGTGGGACGAACACTTACATGGCAGTTCCTGGGGGTCTACAACCATCGTCTCAATGTTGTCCTCAAATTCTGGCTCAAAATGTGTGTGCTCGTGGTGTGGTGGCTCCTGGAAGTGGTGTGGTGGCTCCTGGAAGTGGTGTGGTGGCTCCTGGAAGTGGTGTGGTGGCTCCTGGAAGTGGTGTGGTGGCTCCTGGAAGTGGTGTGGTGGCTCCTGGAAGTGGTGCGGAGACTCGTCGGGCACTACAAATGTCTCAATCACAGGCTCGGGTTCAGGATCAGGTGCGTAAAGCCTTTCAGGCTGGGGAACAAGAGATTCGATCATTTACGTGATAATTATGGCTGGAAGAGAAATCTTTTGAAATCCAAAATGAACTATTTAAAAAAAATTCCCATCTACGATTACAATTGATTTAACTCTCCTGTGTTACACAACCGGCAAAAATGCATTCACTTTATTTGTTCACATATGATATGACATTTTTGTCATTGGTTAATGATGTGTTTTAAAATTACGATTGACCAAAGTGACCTCTCACCTCTACAGGAGGAGGCAGCTCTTCCACTTCTTGGGCAGGGAGGACGACCGGATGAATGTGGTGTCCTGATGGCTTTTTAGCCACGATGGCGTAGACGTCAGGGTTTTCGTCGTCTTGCTCTTCAGAGTAATAAACTGGATTTCGGCTCGGGTCAACTGGCTGCAAGACGGGCTGCAAGACACAGAAAACAATAGAATTGTGAGAAAAGTACTAAGAAATGTGAGATAGAGAACTGATGGTTGATTTTTTGGAGAGAATAGTTACGGTTGAAATGGTCAAGAGATATTGTGACAGTTTATCCGCAGAAAAACAGTACTGGCCTGGAGTGAAACTCTGATGACAGTCCTAACCTGCAGTTAAACTGATGACATACTAACTTGCAGTCACACACTGATGAAAGTACTAACCTGCAGTAACAAGATGACAGTACTAACCTGTGGCAACACTGATGACAGTACTAACCTGTGGTAACACTGATGACAGTACTAACCTGTGGTGTCACATGGATTGTTGTGCTGTGTCTGGCTTGTATCTTTCTTGTCTTTTTCTTCTTCCTGCAAAAAAAAATTTATAAAACATTTCTTTATAAGTGTCACTAGTCCTTAAAAATATTCCTAAACTTGAATAGCATAGAGCCTTACAAGCTAATTTTATATCCCAAACTTAATAGTACAGGGCCTTACAAGCTAATTTTATATCCTAAACTTAATAGTACAGGGCCTTACAAGCTAATTTTATATCCCAAACTTAATAGGACAGGGCCTTACAAGCTAATTTTATATCCCAAACTTAATAGCACAGGGCCTTACAAGCTAATTTTATATCCCAAACTTAATAGCACAGGGCCTTACAAGCTAATTTTATATCCTAAACTTAATAGTACAGGGCCTTACAAGCTAATTTTATATCCCAAACTTAATAGCACAGGGCCTTACAAGCTAATTTTATATCCTAAACTTAATAGTACAGGGCCTTACAAGCTAATTTTATATCCCAAACTTAATAGCACAGGGCCTTACAAGCTAATTTTATATCCCAAACTTAATAGTACAGGGCCTTACAAGCTAATTTTGGAACTAAAAAAAAATTCAAAAAAAAAAAAGGGACTAAGAACAAAGGAAAAACAGAAAATAAAAATTACAAGGTATCTGAGATGGTAAAAGTGAGATGGACAGGAACATTTTGTTGACAACAGAAGCTTTTCATTCCCTTAGCATTTCTCCCAACAAGAAACACTTACGGTTTCTTCTTCATGTCTGCTCTTTTTACACTTCTAATCCTCATGCAATCTTTTCGCACTCAAATTTTTCCTTGAACATCAACTTTGCCCTACTATCCCCAGTA